GCAAACATGGTAAAAATGTTCATTGCAACGAAAAAAACAGACATGTCCATTCTAATGCCTGTTCATAAATAATAGTAACCAATGTTTTATAGCAAAAAATAAAAAAGTGTTGTGGTGTTCAAGTTTACATTTGTCGATAATTCCATGAGGTGGTAATGATTTTAAAGGTCACCGGAAAAGCATCAATTTTTTTTTAAATAATGCAAGTAATTATGTCAACATATTCTTTCCATAAGTATAACCTGAACCAGAATGTCAATATTACCTGTAACAGGTAAATTTCAACATTAGTAATTTCCACCGTTCTCTGTGGGTAGTCGTAACTTTCCGTAAATAAGCAATCTGTGACGTCATTTTAGTCCTTCTACACATAGAAATATAGAATAGAATATGAGCAGAAGGACTAAAATGACGTCACAGATTGTTTATTTACGGAAACTTACGACTACCGACGGAGAATGGCGGAAATTACTAATGTTGAAATTGAGCTGTTGCAGGTAATATTGACATTCGGGTTTGTGTTATACTTATGGAAAGGATATGTTGACATAATTACTTGCATTATTTAAAAAATTTATGAACCTTTTCCGGTGACCTTTAAAATTTAATACAGTATAGCGTCCCAAGGTGGTTAAATTCATTGAAGTGGGGGTTAGTACGAAATTCTTTAATGATGGGAATAGTCAAGATTTATGTGGGTGTTTTAGTTTTTTTTATGGTGGGGGGATATAACAAGAAATGTTTTTTTAGGGAAATAATAGGAAATGTTTGTTTTTTCAGGGAAGTAATAGGAAATGTTTGTTGTTTTTAGGAATATAGTAGGAAATGGTGTTTTTTTTTTTAGGGATATAATAGGAAATGTTTGTTTTTAGGGATATAGTAGGAAAATGTTTTGTTTTTTTTAGGAATATAGTAGGAAATGTTGTTTTTTTTTTTTTTAGGGATATAATAGGAAATGTTTGTTTTTAGGGATATAATAAGAAATGTTTTTTTTTTTTTTAGGGATATAATAAGAAATGTTTGTTTGTTTTTATACGCCCACATTGAAATGTGGTCGTATATTGTCGTCGCCCCCGTCCGGCCGGCCGGCCGGCCGCCCAGCGTCCACAATTGCTTGTGGACGCTCTAGAGGCTAAAGTTAATATTCGATTGACTTTAAATTTATACACAGTGTTTAAGGTCATGAGACAAAGAAGTCTATTCATATTCAGTGATTTTCAATAATTACTGCCAGAGTTATGGCCCTTGATCACTTCAAAAAACCTTGTGGATGCTCTAAAGGCTAAAGTTAATATCTGATTGACTTTAAATTTATACACAGTGTTTGAGGTCACGAGGCGAAGAATCCTATTGATTTTCAAAGATTTCTGATAATTACTGCCAAAGTTATGGCCCTTGATCACTTTGAAAAATCTTGTGGATGCTCTAGAGGCCAAAGTTAATATCCGATTGACTTCAGATTGATACACAGAGTTTTAGATCTTGAGACGAACAAGTATATTGATTTTCAATGAATTTTTATGACTTGGAACAGCTAAATCCATGATACAGTATTAAAAGTTTTGTATACAGAATGTTAGCATGGTTTTCTGAGTTGTTGCTCTTAATCAGATTTTAGTGTATTATAAATGTTTCATTACCGAAAAAAGTAAAAATATGCGACAACACTTGTTGACTGCCTGGACGATTTAGCTGCTGTGGGCGTATGTTTCATTGCCTGGCAATCTATCTTTTAGGGATATAGTAGGAAATGTTTTGGGTTTTTTAGGGATGTAATAGGAAATGTTTGTTTTTAGGGATATAATAAGAAATGTTTGTTTGTTTTTTAGGGATATAATAAGAAATGCATGTAATGCAGGTGAACATGATTCAGTGATATTTGTTGGTAGTGGTTGTACAGCTGCTGTAAATAAAGTTTTACATGCTTTAGATCTTAAACAACCTCCGGTATGTACAATTTTATATGTCTTGTCTGTTAGAAGTAATTTAAGCCTTATTGTCTTACTGGCTATTGTCGGACAAAACATTCTCAGACTTCAGTTAAGAATTTACTCAAGACTGTTTGCATTGTTGTAACTAAAATATAGCCTGTTATAAAACTTTTGTTGTTTTAATGTATCGATTACATCAATAAGAAACTATGTGCAAAGTTTTGTGTTTCTGGATCAAAGATATTTCTCAGAAACAGTGATTGAAAGTTGAGTAAATTCTTAACTTAAGCGGGGGTGGGTGGGTATATGGCCGAATCATTAGCGTGTGCGTGCTGTATCATAAGGTCTGTCATTGAATCAACTGGCGTGTTATCGATTCCCCGGTTGTATGTGACAAGGAGTAGGGTCACCTGTCCAACCTTGTGGGTTTTCTGCCGGTCCTCCGGTTTCCTCCCACTGCTAAAGACCCATAAGCGCAAGCGAATTGTTGAAATAAAAGTGAACCATGTATTAGTCCCGAATTGACCTAGTTTGTGTCGAGTGGACGTTAAACCCCATCTCTCTCTCTCTCTCTCTCTCTCTCTCTCTCTCTCACTTTGTGAACTCTGGGCCTGCATGTCAAATTTTTATTCATCCCACAAATGTGAAGTATTATCATATGTGTATAAAAGTTGTTTTTCTGATTCTCCTCTTTTTGTTTTTATCATCTTGTTTGTCAGAACTGAGACTGAAATGGCTGCTGTTGCAAATATAAAACAGTGAATAAGTTTTGACAGGATGGGAATGTTTATTTTTAGACCGATTCCAGTTGTAAATCCACAATTATTATAAGATTGTGCTGTTCACAATATGCCTGTGTCATGTCATTGCTATTATATTTATACATTTTACAGTAATTGTGTGTATGAGCCATTTAAGGAAATATTTTTCACAGTAGCTTGTTGTTTTAACGAGGGATAAATTACATTGTATGTGAGGATGTATTAATACATGGATTATTTATTTATTATTTTTCAGGTGGTATTTGTCGGACCGTATGAACATCACTCTTTATTTTTACCCTGGTTTCAAAAAGGAGCTGAGGTAAACGTCTGTTCTGATTATATACACAAGTAAATTATATACACAAGTAAATTATATACACAAGTAAATTATATACACAAGTAAATTATAATTATGCTCCAGTTTTTATATACTTATTAGAAGAATGCCCGACTTCGCTCGGGGGTCATAACTCCGAAACCGGAAGTGGTAGACTAACGCCACCTGGTCTATGTTACTCCCCGGTCCAAGCTACTCCTATACCCCAAATTTCAGACTCGGGGCAGACCTAGTGTAGCAGCCAACCCTGAACAGACCGGCTTCGCTCGGGGGTCATAACTCCGAAACCGGAAGTGGTAGACTAACGCCACCTGGCCTATGTTACTTCTTGGTCCGAGCTACCCCTATGCCCCAAATTTCAGACTCGGGGCAGACCTAGTGTAACCGCCAACCCTGAACAGACCGGTTTCGCTCGGGGGTCATAACTCCGAAACCGGAAGTGGTAGACTAACGCCACCTGTCCTATGTTACTCCCCGGTCCGAGCTACCCCTATACCCCAAATTTCAGACTCGGGGCAGACCTAGTGTAACCGCTAACCCTGAACAGACCGGCTTCGCTCGGGGGTCATAACTCCGAAACCGGAAGTGGTAGACTAACGCCACCTGGCCTATGTTACTCCCCGGTCCGAGCTACCCCTATACCCCAAATTTCAGACTCGGGGCAGACCTAGTGTAGCTGCCAACCCTGAACAGACCGGCTTCGCTTGGGGGTCATAACTCCGAAACCGGAAGTGGTAGACTAACGCCACCTGGCTTATGTTACTCCCCGGTCCGAGCTACCCCTATACCCCAAATTTCAGACTCGGGGCAGACCTAGTGTAGCCGCCAACCCTGAACAGACCGGCTTCGCTCAGGGGTCATAACTCCGAAACCGGAAGTGGTAGACTAACGTCACCTGGCCTATGTTACTCCCCGGTCCGAGCTACTCCTATACCCCAAATTTCAGACTCAGGGCAGACCTAGTGTAGCCGCCAACCCTGAACAGACCGGCTTCGCTCATGGGTCATAACTCCGAAACCGGAAGTGGTAGACTAACACCACCTGGCCTATGTTTCTCCCCGGTAAGAGCTACTCCTATACCCCAAATTTCAGACTCCGGGCAGACCTAGTGTAGCCGCCAACCCCGAACAGACAGACAGACAGACAGACGACAGTCACAAATATTAGTATAGATAGATAGATAGATAAAATAATTATATAATAATGCTATACACTTGCTGAGCATTCTGATTAAAACACAGATTCTATCTTCCCTCTAGTCATATGTGGATGCATAGACATTCTTCCTTGCCTGACCATCCGTCCTGCACCTCTAAGAAAGGTAGTGTCTAGTCTTTCGGATGGAACAAAAAAAATAAGATCTCATGAATACGTTGACAGAATTCTATGAAAAGTAGACATAGGTGATTTTTTATGTTGATACTTTTAAACTTGCAGGTTATTAGAATCCAACAAACAACGAGTGGATTGATTGATGTCGATCATCTTCAAACCATGTTAAAGGTATATATAAATAAACTCTATTCTACTATCACTGTAACCCAGGTATCATTTAATCTTGTGTATCTAGCACTAATTTCTTTCACATTCATTTAATATCAAATCTTTGTTTAAAAATTTGTAAAAACTGTTTAAAATCACCATAAATCGTTTAATTTGTACTTCTGTCCAGTTTAAAGCTGACTGATTAATTTTGATAATGAGTGTCCAATTTACAAGTATTTAATTTCCTGATCACTGTTCAAAAATTAATCATTATACATCATTAATCAATTGGGTTGTTTATTTTTTAACAATGATTGAGAAATTAAACACTTGTAAATTGGACACTCATTATCAAAATTGAATGGTCAGCTTTAAACTGGACAGAAGTACAAATTAAATGATTTATGGTGATTTTAAACAGTTTTTACAAATTTTTAAACAAAGATTTGATGTCAAATGAATGTGAAAGAAATTAGTGCTAGATACACAAGATTAAACTATACCTGGGTTACAGTCACTGTAATCAGGGTATCATTTAATCTTGTTTAAATTAGAGAGAGAGAGAGTGTGTGTGTTTAATGTCCACTCAACACAAAGTAGGTCACTTTGGGACTAACATATGGTACTGCGTATATCAAAGTGAGTCGGAATACGCAAAATCTAATTTTGGACTAGAGACAAAATAAGTGAAAATATTGATTTTGATCGAAATTGAGATTTTCACAAAAATGAGTCTATAAATATACTATCTATTGACACAAAAGATCAAAATAGCAATAAAAGATTTTAGAACACCTTTATTTGAACGTTTGGTAAGAGTACCGTATTCTTAAATCTGTCCTATTTGTTAAAATTCTCGACGAAATTAGTTATTTTTCTTCACTCGCTGCGGGACGACCGGTCATTCCTCTTGCATAATAATTGGCATTGTTGTAAAGCGGAGAATCTCTAGTTTACAAATATGATCAAATTAATGTCGATGAATTGATTTTGAACCGATACAATCGAGTTTTAAAACCCCTAAAAAATATAAACCACCTCCGCTTGTTGCTGTGCTGTCTACACAACTCGTTTGCTGATTGGCCCAGACACCGAGTGAAAAGCATTATGGTTACGTGGCTGACGTAAGGAATGCATCTTGGATATTATTGTTTAAAATTCTCTTATCACCATGGGTCGAAAAAATGAGACCAATGAGCCGAATTGCAACGATTCTCGAGTCTGCCATTGTTTAATTACATCAAAGCCAGAATGCACGAAAGTGAACGTAAGTATTTCTTGAATATGAAATTGACATTTCTATAGGGACTCATATTTTGATACCGTTACAGTACCTGAAAATAATAATAGACCTATCATACACGCAAAAATCTTATTTTAATTCATGTGTTAAATGAACACGCGTACAGCTGTGGCGGCTTCTTTGATGATTATCCAATCAACAATCTTAATCTCCTGACCACTAGCTGGCACTATGGTGCTAATTAATTGATGAGATTAACTGCTAATCTCACCAACGTTATAATATACAAAACAGACTACTAATATATAGATTATTCTTCAGTATAATTAACACTATCATGTGAATATGGCGTATGTGTTATGGATGTTTCGTCATGAAAGGAGTGCATTTACTATGATTTTCGTTGTCAGCACCCTTGGAATCCTAAATGAAAAAAATATTAAACGACAAAATAGCAAATAAATGGCGGAAATCGTCGGATCAAATTTTTACGATTTTCGTCTTCAGCACCCCTGAAAACCCATGGATATATTCAACGCCAAAACAGCAAATAAATGGCCTGGTTGCTATGGGATTTTGTTTTGGAACATACCAAATCTTTGACTTGCTTTTTCTCAAAACTTACTTTTGTGTGTTGGGTAGCTTCGAATGGACAGAGCTCAGTCAATTTTTGCCCGTTTCAAACAAACAATACATCAAATTGAAGGTAATGAGTTGGAGAATGTGAAAATAACAATAACTCAATTTTTAAAATTTCCACACTACTACCCAGTATGCCATGGGGGGTCACATATGGTTTACATTTATTCATTAATTTGCTGGTGTGCGTGGGGATCTGTAGCAGTTGGAGGAAACCGGAGGACTCAGAGAAAACCCACGACTTTGGACAAGCGACCCTACTCCTTGTCACATACAAACAGGGAATCGAAACCATGCCAGTTGACTTCTTGACAGACCATTGGCCCCCCCCACCCCCCTGCCCCCTACAAGTAAATAAATAAGTAACATTTGTCTGAAAAGAAACAAAAACAAACTAAAGTAACGTAATGACAAGACATTAAACCCATTCCAAGTTGAGCTTCAACAGATTTTTATTTTCAACAGAAATATGAGAATTGCGGTCAACAGTTGATTGGTTGTTTTTCTGCTGCGTCCAATATCACTGGTATACTGGTAGACGTGAATCTCATAACTATAACTTTACATAGATATGGTGCTCTAGCATTGTGGGATTATGCCACTGCAGCACCTTATGTACAGATCGATATGAATCCAGTTATACCAGGGTAAGTCTTGGTTTACATTTATATTCAACTAGAAGAATGTCCGGCTTCGCTCGGGGGTCATAACCCCGAAACTGGAAGTGGTAGACTAACGCCACCTGGCCTATGTTACTCCCTGGTCCGAGCTACCCCTATACCCCAAATTTCAGACTCGGGGCAGACCTAGTGTAGCCGCCAACCCCGAACTGACAGACAAACGACAGTCACAAATATTAGTATAGATTAAAGGACAATATTGATGTCAGCCATTATCACATATGTGATAGAACTTGTTAAACATGTTCCAAATATAATTTTAACACAGAGATCCATTGATTCCCGTACATTCATTTTATACTTAAACATGCATTATGCAAGAGCAAAATCTGCTTATTACAAGTCTTTCTTTAGGCCTGAAATGTTATCTAAATTATCAATTAGACATTAATTAACTTATCCAGACCATAATAAACTCTCGATGTCAAGGCTAGCCTTCGATGTTGGCTGGATTAGATTCCTATATGCCGCTAACGGCCATTGATAATTAAATCAAAAAAAGTGGATAATCGAGACTATGCTGTTTATATTAATGATTTTAGTAATGATGACCAAGACTATGCAAACATTTCACCCGCTTCTTTCTCGGCTCACAGTGGATCAATTTGACTGAAATTTTCAGCAAATTACCTTTACACTATCTAGTTTTTAACTATTATAGCGAGAACTGCCATCTCTTTATCTTATCTCCCATAATGTATCTTTAATAAAAACAGGGTAATGCACAGATTTTTCCTAGTGACAGTCAATTCTTTTTATAAATTGTCAGATATCCCCTCACAGTCTCACAAAACAACTTGGTCTTGGAAGGAATTATTAGTGATCAGAAATTCGCCTGTGTATCTATTATCACTGGTCACTTCAGTCAGTTATATAGAAGGATAACTCATATTTTCCTTTTGCTTTCGTCACTTCCGTTTCTTTAAATCTTCATTATGCATCTATCGTGTTAAAATTATATTTGGGACGTGTTTAACCACTACTATCACATATGTGATAATGACGAACACCAATATTGTCCTTTAATAAATCTTACATGCTTAATAGGCCACACCAATTAGTTGGTGTACTAAAACATTGGCTTCCTGTCTCTTAAAAACCCTTGATTTAAAAAAAATTCAGAGTTGCTCTTCTGAGAAGTTTTTACTTCAAAATGTTCAAGTGTTGAAACTTGAAACAAAACATGAATTGAAACATGACTGTACTTGAAATAAATGACAGAGATTAGATAAAGAGCTGGCAGTTCTCACTATAATAGTTAAAAACTAGATAACGTAAGTAGAATATTCTAAAAATTTCAGTCAAATTGCTCCACTCCGAACCAAGATATTAGCAATTGAATTTAAAGCCTAGCTTCGATCATCTTTACTAAAGTCGGTATGATAAAAACGTAGTCTCGATTATCCACTTTTGGATTTAATCATCAGTGAGCGTTGAGCAGCTGATCAGATTCAAATCCAGTGAAAATTCAATACATAGGATGGCATCGAGAGTTGATCAAGATCTTTTTATAGTTTATATAACATTTTAGGCCTGAAGAAAGACTTGCAATGGGCAGATTTAGCTCTTGAATAATGTATGTTTAAGGCCTAAAGAAAGACCTGCAATGGGTAGATTTAACTCTTGCATAATACATGTTTAATTCTTGTGGTATTCTTTGAATGACCTATTTTTTATGACATTTCAATTAACTACCAGTTGGTCTAGACCAGTAAAGTAATATGTGACCAGAACAAGATCATGCTGGAAATATTTTATTTTACTTACAGTGAAGATCAACATCTGGTATATAAAGATGCTATTTTTATTTCACCGCATAAATTTGTTGGAGGTGTGTCCACTCCAGGTATTGTTCATTATCATTTGTTCTTTAATTCATAAAGGCCTGATAACACTTCTCTGATCAGCTGTGGCTCGGTGAGTAATACGACTGGCTGGCTATAAGCTTGCCCGGAGCCTTTGTCTATACTCCGGGTGACACCCTGCTCTAGTTGTTGACTGAGAAAGTTCCTCTGGATTTTTATGTGTGGTTACCCATTCATGGTTGTACGTGACAAGGAGTAGGGTCGCCTGTCCAGCCTCATGGGTTTTCTCCTGGTCCTCCAGTTTCCTCCCACTGCCTAAGACCCCTACGCGCAAGCAAATTATGAAAATAAAATAAAATTAAACCTTATGTTAGTCCCGAAATGACCTAGTTTGTGTCGAGTGGACGTTAAACCCGATTTATCTCTCTCTTCTTTATTATCCCAGTTGTTGCAGAAAAGTAGGACGTTAAACTCCATTTCATTTCTTTAATTCATAAAGGTCTGATACCACTTCATTATGATTGAAATAGATCAATGACAACTCTTGCTATGGCTGATTCCTCTTCGTTTAACTTTATCTTTGAATAACTGGCCGTAATTTTTAAAAAGCACTTGTTTGTTGACAAATTATAATTAGTTTTTGGATGGAGAGAGAGAGAGAGAGAGATGGGGTTTAATGTCCACTTGACACAAACTAGGTCATTTCGGGACTAACACATAGTCTCAAATATTATATTGATTATAAATTAGACATTTATTCACATGAAAAGTCTCCAATCAACTCACTAGATCATCGGATGGTTGTGATATTTAACGGATTGAAACACAATCTTCATTTAATGATTTAATTTAAAAATGGATAATCAAGTCTTTGTTTGTTATTGTAACAATGGTGGTAATTAAAACATAGATTATGCTATTCTTATAAAAACATCCAACATTCATAGCTTTACTTAGAAAGAGAGAGAGAGAGAAATGGGGTTTAACGTCCACTCAACACAAACTAGGTCATTTCTGGACTAACATATGTTGGGTTTTTAGCAGTGGGAGGAAACCGGAGGACCCGGAGAAAACCCACGAGCCTGGAAGGCGACCCTACTCCTTGTCACGTACAACCGTGGATTCGAAACCATGACAGTTGACTCAATGACAGGCCTTAATGCTAAGCATTCGACCATCCAACCCCCCCTTTACTTAGAATAAATTAATATGACTGAAATTGTCATTATTCTTTTTTTCATTATCTATTTTTGAACTATTATAGCGAGAACCATCGGCTCTTTATCTAATGTATTTGTTTTTGTTAATAGGATTGCTTATAGCTAAGAAGAAATTATTTCATAATCCTTATCCTGAAGTTTGTGGAGGTGGTTCTGTCTTCTATGTGAGTATTATTTCAAACGTTTTGATAAAATCACTGACGCAAAATAAATGACCAATAGATATACCGGCGATAACCCAGACATCATTAAACCCTTGTTTATTACAGTAAACACTATTTTCCTCAGTTGGGGTGGGGGGGGGGATGGCCGAATGGTTAGCACGTGAGTGTTGTATTATAAAGTCTGTCAGTGAGTCAACTGGCGTGGTATCGTGAATCCCCGGTTGTACGTGACAAGGAGTAGGGTCGCCTGTCCAACCTCGTGGGTTTTCTCCGGGTCCTCCGGTTTCCTCCCACTGCTAAAGACCCCTACGCACAAGCAAATTATTGAAATTAAACCATATGTTAGTCCCGAAATGACCTAGTTTGTGTCGAGTGGACGTTAAACCCCATTTCTCTCTCTCTCTCCCCAGTTGGGGTGGGGGTAGACTAATGGTTTAGTGCCTGCATCTTAGATCATAAGATTGTACATGACAATGAATAGAGTTACCTGTCCTACTTTCGTTTCCTCCAGCTCCCTCCCTCAGACGAAGACCCAGATACTATTAAACCCTTCTTTATTATAGCTTACGTTAAACACTATTTACAGGGCGGCAGGGTTGAGGTTCTCCATTTTCCTCCCACAGATAATTAAGACCCATGCAATTATTGAAGTGAGATTGAACCATATGTTTTTCCCCGAAATTACTTGATTTCCCCACCTCATCTTTAATGCAAATCAGTACTTTCAAAATTTTGAATAGATAACCTATTGTAATAAGGAGTTAGGTTGTAATAGGGAGTTAGGTTGTAATAAGGAGTTAGGTTGTAATAGGGATTTAGGTTGTAATATAAGGAGTTATTGTTATTCCAGGTGGGAAGAGATAGTCAGCGTTATCTACAAGAACCAGAATTAAAGGAAGAAGGTGGAACACCATCTATTGTAGAATCTATACGAGCTGGTCTGGTATTCCAATTAAAACAAGCTGTAACATCACAGGTTATCATGGACAGAGAACATAGCCTACTACAGTAAGACTTTCATTAACACGTTATCATAGACAGTGAACTATAGTAAGACTTTCATTAACACGTTATCATAGACAGTGAACTATAGTAAGACTTTCATTAACATGTTATCATAGACAGCGAACATAGCCTACTACAGTAAGACTTTCATTAACATGTTGTCATAGACAGCGAACTACAGTAAGACTTTCATTAACAAGTTATCATGGACAGTAAACATAACCTACTACAGTAAGACTTTCATTAACATGTTGGACAGAGAACATAGCCTACTACAGTAAGACTTTCATTATCATGTTATCATGGACAGAGAACATAACTTACTATATTAAAACTTTCCTTAATATGTTGTCATGCAACCAGTATTAAGAATTTCATTAACAAGTTATCATGGACAGTATACATAGCCTACTACAGTAAGACTTTCATTAACATGTTTAGCGAACATAATTTACTATATTAAGACTTTCCTTAATAAGTTGTCATGCAACCACCATAATTTACTATAGTAAAACTTTCATTAAAATGTCATCATAGACAGTAAACATAACCTACTATAGTAAAACTTTCATTAAAATGTCATCATAGACAGCAAACATAACCTACTATAGTAAGACTTTCATTAACATGTTGGACAGAGAACGTAGCCTACTATAGTGAGACTTTCATTAACATGTTGTCATGGACAGAGAACATAATTAACTATAATAGATTTTCATTAATAAGTTGTCCTGCAGCCACCATAACTTACTATAGTAAGACATTCATTAACAAGTTATCATAGACAGTGAACATAATTTACAATAGTAAAACTTTCATTAACAAATTATCATGGACAGTGAACATAAAAGTGAACCATATGTTAGTCCTGAAATGGCCTAGTTTGTGTCGAGTGGATGTTAAGCTTCATTTCTCTGTCGCGCTCTCTCTCTCTCTCTCTCTCTCTCTCTCTCTCTCTCTCTAATAAATAACTGTGTATGCTGATTTGTTACAAATTTGTTCTTTTTTTTTAGGAAAGCTTTAGCAGTTTGGAATAAATGTCCAAATTTAGTCATCTTAGGAAATACAACAGTTTCCAGACTTCCTGTTTTTTCATTCCTCATCTATCACCCTGGTAACGGTCGATTCTTTCATCATAATTTTGTCAGTGCCATCTTGAATGATGTGTTTGGTATCCAGTCTCGAGGAGGATGTGCTTGTGCTGGACCTTATGCTATGGTGAGAATATTCTCTATCATTATATTGAGACACGAAACGAAATGGGGTTAAACTTCCTACTTTACTTGGAGGTTATAATTGGTTGGAGGATTGTTTTAGCATGTGAGCGCTGAATCATAAAGTCTGTCATCGAGTCAACTGGCGTGGTTTCGATTCACCGGTTGTACGCGCCAAGGAGTAGGCTCGCCTGTTCAATCTCGTGATTTTCTCCGGGTCCTCCGGTTGTCACCCATTGGTAAAGACCCCTACGCCCAACCGAATTATAGAAATAAAAAATTCAACCATGTGTTAGTCCTGAAATGACCTAGACTAATACTGTAACCAAAAGGAAATGAAATGAAATGAGGTTTGACGTCCTACTGTTCTGCTCCGACGGGGCTAATGAGGACGGGCATACGCCATACAGTGTGCTATGAGGGAAATTCTTTCCCAGTCAGCGGCACTACGGCCTACTCTGTCTCGAATTCCAACTGCCAAGGGATCTTTTACATGCATGCCAATGTATACACGGGACCTCGGTTTTTCATCCCATCCGAACAACTAGATAGCTGTCCTTGTCAGCCCCTCCTTACTGCACCACTGACAAGGGGAAATCACGTCAGAACATCCCCATGAACTTTCTCGGTCAATGCAGGGATCGAACACCCGACCTCCAGGCTAGTGAGCCAGCGTCTTACCCACTTAGCCACCATGGCTCCCTTTAACCAGAAGACATACATGAATAGATAGAACAAGTAGGTTTTTATCTATCATTTGATTGATAAAATAATTTGCATGTTTATAAATCAGTAAAAAATTGGGGCTATGCTATATACCGGAAAACAACCATAGTATATAGTATTGCCGAAAAAATTGAAATGATTACGTCTGTCAATGTTAAAAATCGTCTTATTCGCCTTGAAAAATTATTTTGCTGGTCAGAGCTAAACAGAATATGCAAAAAATGACCAATTGGGAAAATTTGCATATGAAAGGCCTGAATTGTTTAGTATGTAAAATGCTAATGTCTGTAAAATTTTCTATATTTTCCTACTTGTGTTTAACGAAGTCCTGTTTATGTTTTTACAGGATTTGTTGGGATTAAATAAAGAAATAGAAGAAAAAATAGAAAACTTACTTGTTGAAGATGGGTGGGTAACATATATATCATATCTATATGTGTTCATGAAAGTTTAATAAATAAAATGAAATGAAATGGGGTTTAACATCCTACTGTTCTGCTCCGAACAGGGCTAATAAAGATGGACATACACCATACAATGTGCTATGAGGGAATTTCGGCCCGGACAGCGGCACTATGGCCTATTCTTATATTGAATTCCAACTGTCAAGGGATCTTTTACGTGCACGCCAATGTGTACATGGGACCTGGTTTTTCGTCCCATCCGAACGACTAGACCGCTGTCCGGAAAGGATAACAAACTTGTTGCAATACCAGCATACATAGTAGAAATGAAATCTAATGGAGTTTCACATTCTACTGTTCTGCCCCGACTGGGCTAATGAAAATGCACATCAACCGTGCAGTGTATGAGTTAAATTTTGCCCGAACATCGTTGCTACGTTATACTCTTATATCGAATTCCAACTACCAAGGGTTCTTTTACGTGCACACCAATGTGTACACAAGACTGCAGGTTTTCAGTCCATAGGAACGATTATGACATTGTCCATTGCCAGGCCCTCTCATGCATCACTGACAGGGTGGAACCTTGCCAGAAAATCCTTATGAACTTTCTTGGCTCACACCGGGATCGAACATGGAATCTCCAGGTCAGCGACCCCACCGCAGCTCCCATATATAGTAGATTATTCTTGTTGTCATTATTTGATTCAGCAAGGAGGGATGTCATGGTAGTCAAGCAGTCATTATTAAAGTAGTTTTATTATTTGTAACAGCTGTATCTCACAGTGGATGCTTACTGCTAGTCCCCGGATCCATTCACTTGATCTGATATGTACGTTTGTTGTTTGTTGTGTCTGTATATTGTGTCCTGTCCGTAGGTTTGTCCTGTGTTAATGTTTATATGTGGTGCCCCCTACACTTACTAATAACTTAATATACCATCTTTGTTTCAGACGACTGGACCGGACACATTTAAGGAGATATCGAGAATATTCTCATCGTGAAATACTGAGGTGAGCAGATGTTAAAAATACCATGTGACAGATAAAACACAGAATTCGTCCATAAATAAAATATCCTCCAACATCACTTAAATTACCACCAGGGGGGGTTGGATGGCCGAATGGTTAGCATGCGCGCGCTGTATTATAAGGTCTGTCATTGAGTCAACTGGCGTGGTTTCAAATCCCCGGTTGTACGTGACAAGGAGTAGGGTCGCCTGTCCAACCTCGTGGGTTTTCTCCGGGTCCTCCGGTTTCCTCCCACTGCTAAAGACCCCTACGCGCAAGCGAATTATTGAAATAAAATTAAACCGTATGTTAGTCCCGAAATGACCTAGTTTGTGTCGAGTGGACGTTAAACCCCATTTCTCTCTCTCTCTCTCTCTCTCTCTCTCTCTCTCTCTCTCAAATTACCACCATATATTAGGCTATAATCTGTTTCTATCAGATCCTCCTAAACCCTATTGCAGGACGGAGGGGCTGACAAGGAAAGCTGTCTAGTCGTTCGGATGGGACGAAAAACCGAGTTCCCGTGTACACATTTGCGTGCACGTAAAAGATCCCTTGGCAGTTAGAATTCGATATAAGAGTAGGCCGTAGTGCCGCTGCCCGGGCAAAATTTCCCTTATAGCACACTGTATGGCGTATGCCCGTCTTCATTAGCCCAGGTTAGGAGCAGAACAGTAGGACGTTAAACCCCATTTCATTTCATTTTCATTTCCTAAACCCTATAAAAATACCAGTATATAAGACCATAAATAAAATATAATCTGTTTCTCAGATACTCCTACAGGGCAGCATTACCTGTTTTCATTTTTCTAAAATATAAAAATAAAACCACTTTTATTAATTACTGCATTTTTATATTTCCCCCAGTTACAGGAAGTAACTCTATGAACAAAATTAGAGTGAGGCTGAGAGTGTATCATAGTCTCAATTATCAAGTACAATCCCTTATGACTATTATTGACAATCATCATTGATACTGGATAATCATAAATTACTGTAAAGGACATGCCGAGGTAATTGTGATGCCGCAAAATGTGATGGGAGGTTGGGTGTCCGACTGGGTTGCTATGGTTGCTTTAAATCATAAGGTCATTCATTGAGCCGTTTGGCTTGGTTTTCCTTGCATTGGCCGAGAAAGTTCATCCAGATTTTCCGGCGTGGTTTCCCCTTGTCAGTGATGCAGGGCGGAGGGCCTGACAAGAATAGCTGTCTAATCATTCGGATGAGACGAAAAACCGAGGTCCTGTGTACACATTGGCGTGCACTTAAAAGATCCCTTGGCAGTTGTAATTCGATATAAGAGTAGGCTGTAGCACCGCTGCCCGGGCAAAATTTCCCTCATAGCACACTGTATGGCGTATGCCAGTCTTCATTAGCCCAGTTTAGGAGCAGAACAGTAGGACATTAAACCCATTTTATTTCATTTCATTTTGGCGTGGTTTCCATTCCCTGCTTGTACGGGACAGGGAGTAGGATTGTCTATGCTACCTTGTATGTTTTCTCAAAGTTCGCCGGTTTCTGCTAAAGACCCCCTACTTGCACGTAAATTATTAAAATAAAATTGAACCATATGTTAGTCCCAAAATGACCTAGTGAATGTTAAACCCTGTTTCTCTTTCTTTTTTTTTCAGACCTGGTTTTACACGCCTTAATCTTCCATTTTTTATGACAGAAGAAGAATTAAATTTTGTTGTAGAATCGGTTGCCATGGTAGCTGAACATGGCTGGAAATTACTGCCACAGGTTTATTTTATAATTATTTTATTGTCATGGATGAACATTTATGAAAATAAATTGGAGATCAATCTGATTAAAACACAGATCCTATTTCGTTTCGTTTTTATAGTTCACAATTTCGTTTTACTTGTCTTTACTACACTAGGAACCACTATTACACCCATATATGGATGTGAATGGTTAGTCAACCAGAACCATGCGCAATGAACCACTATTGTTCCCATATATGGATGCGGTGTCTACCATATTGTGGTTATTTTCTTCACAAAGAGATATTTTATTTCAGTAATTAGATATTTTTATATTCTACAATTTTTATTTTCAGTATATATTTAATCCAGAAACTGGTGAATGGAGACAGAAAAATTTTCAAGTGAGCAAAAATGATTACCTTGAATTAGATTCAATCTAAAGAAAATTCCATCCTTTTATTTACATTTTTGTCATGGTGTCGATTTGAATTAACCTGGTTATCTCCGAAGATCGTGTGTATATTGTATGACAATATGTAATGAGATATTATTTCCAATTTCCATCCACACGTAAAATGAATGAGTTATTGCATCTTAAGGATAACGAACTAAAATTATGTAAATTCATTGAAAATATATTGTCATTTTTCTCGGTCCCACAAATGTAAATACTGCTAAGAAATAGTCTGATGTTTAATAAAATGTATATATAAGATACTATTTTTAATGTTAAATTTAAATCGTTTATATTTTGATGTGAATTGGGAATATAATGAAAATGTAAAATGAAATTTAATGAAATCTTGTAACCTGATGGTTTTCGTGAATAAAGATTATTATTATTACAATAGTATATGGTTTGACAACAGTACATGGCTTGAAAATAGTGTATGGTTTGACAATAGTTTCACATGATTTTGATCTGTCCAAAGATAAAATAATATAAATTATATCAAGTAACCATTAACAAGTGCTACAGTATTAAAGGGACAACCTGTCATTATTTATTTCTATATTTGTTTTATTTTGTAGACATTTAAAGATAGGAAATGGTTGGGTCATATTTCTTATCATGATGATAAAATGGAGTATAAACTACCCCCACCTGTAGTTAAAGGCCCTTTACCTGACAGTTATAAGGTAACTTGGGATTCGCTTTAATTTTAACCTTTTCGTTATTTATTTCTGGTCCATTGCATGTCTCGGGTTTATCACAAAATTAAAAATGAAATGTGATTTAAAGGAGCTAAGTCCGTAACTCAATATCATCCCAAATCTTCAACATTGAAATACGAAATCTTTTGCAATTTAAATCAGCATTGGTGTTGTGATCTTACCTGGAAAAGATGGGCTTCTGATATCCAATATTTAAGACAAAACAAACATTTTACCATTGGTACACGAATTGTGTACCATAATGCGTTTCAGTGCCATTTCTAACAAGGTGATCAAAGAATGAGGCTAGACATATTCCACAAGTCATGTCAAACGGTGATATCATATTCTTTTTAGGAGAGTATGCGCAATAAATAATATCGGTGTTGACTGGAATAACCAGACGCTAGAAACTGACTTGCGGGTGAGACATCTTGCGTATTTCGCAGAACATAACTGATGACAATTCACAGTAAAACGGACACGATTGAATGTAAAACAGTTTATATAAATTCATATTACATTATTATATGTGTTGCGACCCATTTGTGCCAATTTCTAGGTCCAAAATATTAGCGATTTACCTCCTTTAAGATCCTACTTTTAGCCGCCGACTGCTTTAATGAAGACTGACATTCACCATACAGTGTGTGCTATGAGGGAAATTCTTCCTAGTAAGTGGTGCTACGAGGAACTCTTATTTAGATTTCCATCTGTCAAGGATTCTTTAACGTACACGCTAATCTATACACAGGACCTCATTTATTCATCTCATCAGAACGACGATACAATTCCAAATTGCAGATGCACTTTAATTTCAAACTCTTCTATCGAATATTAAATCCAATGCATCTGTCATCTTTATAACTCCAACATGTAAAGTTTAGATGACTTGAATGGAAATATCAAAAACGACTTCAACATCTAATCAAACAATCACTTTAATTGTATTTATATACATCAATCATTCAACCACTTTTCTGGGGGGGTTGGATGGCTTAATGGTTAGCGTGCGCGCGCTGTATCATAAAGTCTGTCATTGAGTCGACTGGCGTGGTTTCGAATCCCCGGTTGTACGTGGCAAGGAGTAGGGTCGCCTGTCCAACCTCGTGGGTTTTCTCCGGGTCCTCCAGTTTCCTCCCACTACTAAAGACTCCTACGCGCAAGCGAATTATGTAAATAAAATTAAACCATATGTTAGTCCTGAAATGACCTAGTTTGTGTCGAGTGGACGTTAAACCCCATTTCTCTCTCTCTCTCTTTTCTCATATACATAAGAAAAACCAACAGGTTTTTGATAATTTCTGTTTAAATCTGTTTTCTAGGAATGTTTGTCAACAGCTGAACAAATATTTGAGAAAGCCGCCAAGGTAGATATTTTACTCTTACCTTATATTAATGGTTTTGTGTAGCAGGGGGTTGGGTGACCGAATGGTTGACGCATATGTGTTGCATCATAAGGTCTGTCAATGAGTCAAGTGGGTGGGCTTCGATGACAAGGAGTAGGGTAGCCTGTCCTACCTCGTGGGTTTTCTCCAAGTCCCCCGGTTTTCTTCCACTACTAAAGACCCCTACGCCGCAAACAAATTATTGAAATAAAATTGAACCTATGTTAATCCCGAAATGACCTGGTTTGTGTCGAGTGGAGTTATACTCTCTCTCTCTCTCTCTCTCTCTCTCTCTCTCTTTCCAATTTAATGAAATTTCTGTTATTTTTACAGACCAAGATCACACTACCTGACCAGTGTCTGCTGTTCGATGAAGAATCAAAGAAATATCGCTGGTTTGTTCTACCTAGTGAAGCTCAAGATTGTCTCCTAGGCAACAAGAAAAACTCAGTTTCTATTGACCAATTACCATTCTGTCCAGAAGTTCTGAAACAACGATTAGGATTGGTTGATTCTATAGAGGACACAACAAATCACATATCGGTTAATTTCTGGACACAATTGAAAAGAGAAAATGTAGGAAAGGGGTCTGATTCTGAAGTGCAATTTTCAGAAGGAATGGTTAACTGTTTAGATAGAGGATTCACAAGTGAAGAAATCCCAAATAAAAGACACAAATTATCAGAAGATAGCCAGGAAAAAAATTACGATTCAAGGACCAGAATTCTAGAAAATAAAACTGTTGATAAAAATTTTAGTGGTGGGCTTGAAGGGAATGATCTTGTAAATAATAAGAGTATGTCTGTGATATCAAATAATACCACGGTAGAAAAACGTCCTGGCATCTCATCTGAGTCGAAAAATCTTGTATTAGATAAACAGGATCCAGTTTATTTAAATAAATTTGAAAATGAAAGTAGAAACATGACTGACGTGAAAAGTGCAGAAGATGCCAGTACTGAAATTAGGTTAGAAAGTGAAAAAGATGGCAGCAAAGATTTTGAAGACAGAATAAGTCAACATGTTAATCCTGATACCGGTAACTATAGCGATAGTGTTAATCCTGATACCGGTAACTATAACAATAGTGTTAATCCTGATACCGGTAACTATAGCAATAGTGTTAATCCTGATACTGGTAACTATAGCGATAGTGTTAATCTTGTATGTCCATTATTAAAGAAACCTGTCAGTAATTCAGCAACAAATGAAAACAGAAATAAAAAAGTTAAATGGTTTTCACCACCTAAAGATATCTTTAAACCAACTGTAACGGTAAGTACATTTGGCGTATAAAGGGAGGCAACCACTGGCCGGAAAGGGAGTGGATGTAGAATATTGAGTAAGGTTGTCACAGAAATTTTGGAAATTTGGGCTCGGTTGTCGGAAGAAATTTGTAGAATCATTTCAGGTCTGTCTATTTCAAACATTTGGTCAAAGTTAAAGAAGAATCTTCCAGAATAATATCTCAGTCAATAGGATGTGTTCATCTTGAACTAGCTTTAGTGGTGACCTCTCTCATTAAATGCCATTTAAGCACCGTAGTAATTTATGAAGTTATGCCACTTTTGCATTCTGAGAAATGAGTTTAACATGTTCCATGAAATCTGTATGGTCCATTATTTAGGGTTAATATGAAAACTTTTAAATTTTATTAGGCATTAGAAGAGTACAACATGATTCAAGATGGTGACCGTTTGTTGGTTTGTTTATCTGGTGGTAAAGATTCCCTGTCGTTACTTCACACGATCAGACAATATCAGTTTTATTGTAGAGCTAAGGTAAGTCCATCATTCCATCAGTTTTATTGTAGAGCTAAGGTAAGTTTGTCATTCCATCAGTTTTATTGTAGAGCTGAAGTAAGTCTTCCATTCAATCAGTTTTATTTTAGTCTGTTATTTTATCAGTTTTATTGTAGAGCTAAGGTAAGTTTGTCATTCCATCAGTTTTATTTTTGAGCTAAGATAAGTCCATCATTCCATCAGTTTTATTGTAGATCTAAAAGTAAGTCCATCATTCCATCAGTTTTATTGTAGGGATAAAGTAAATCTGTCATTCATCAGTTTTATTGTAGAGCTAAGGTTAGTCTATCATTCCATCATTTTTATTGTAGAGCTAAGGTAAGTCCATCATGCTATCAGTTTTATTGTAGAGCTACAGTAAGTCTTTTATTTCATCAGTTTATTTTAGACCTAAGGTAGTCCTTCATGCCATCAGATTTATTGTAAGCGAAGTCTATCACTCCATCACTTTTATTGTAGAGCTAAGGTAAGTCCATCATTCCATCCTTTTTATTGTAGAGCTAAGGTAAGTCCATCATTCCATCCTTTTTATTGTAGAGCTAAGGTAAGTCCATCATTCTGAAATGAGATCAAATGAAATGGGGTTTAACATCCTACTTTACTGCACCACCCGAACTGATGAAGACGGGCATATGCCATGCAATGTTCTGATAGGGTGATTTTGACAGAATAACAATCTACAGCCTACTCTTATTTCAAATTCAAACTGTTACGGAATCTTTTATGTGTATACAAAACTTCGGTTTTTGATTTATTCTAAAGAACTACATTATGTAGACACTGTTCATTGGCAGGCCCTCTGTCTTCAACACTGATCAGGGAAAAGCTCACAGGAACATCATGAGGTGGTTTGTCGTCCACCTCCAGGATCGAACCTTGCCCTCCAGATTAGTAAGTCAGTGTCTTATTCACTGAGCCAGAAGGTAACTGTGTTATAATATCAGTTCAGTTTAAAAGACATTTAGTGAAAGCGATATTAGCTTTATGGATAGAGTTCACTAGGTTTATTAACTACGATGTTTCAATGAGGGGCTTCTCATCGTTATTGGTCCATGTGACAGGCAGATATTCATTACCAAGTTGATGAATTGGTTTAACTATGATTTTCAGTTAGCCTTAGGTCTAAAGTGTCCAAAATTGGTTGATGGACTTCCGGGTCACTTTGCCAAATGTCAGTTTGGTGGCCATCTTTAAAAAAAATGGCCGACGTTTTTTTTCTTATTTGAAATAGTGCGAGTCGGGGAAGCCTTCATAACTCCTCAACAGTTTCACCTATATCGATATGTAATATATCTCAAAATGTTCATAATATAATTCTGCATCTGCTGGTATATGATATATGTTGTTTAATCAATACTATCAGTTTTAAAATAAAAGATTAATCTGAAAAAAGCAACATTTTCGATTTTTTTTTTCATGTCTGTTCGTATGTTTACTAACAAATCGTGTTCAGACCCAAATTATCTGTTTGGTCAACTTAAGTGATTGAATAGATATCAGAAACATTGATCATAAAAAATAATCTCAAATATGAGTGTCCCAGATCCAAGATGGCAGAAATTCAAAATGGCGACAAAATTTCCTAAAATGGCCAATATGTCAGATAATAGTCATTTCATTGTTTGATATGACATGTACTATCCAATGAGCTTACAATTAAAGATTCATTACGTAAGATTTAGATAAAGAGCTAGCCATTCTTGCTACAATAGTTCGAAAATAGATAATGTAAAATGAATAATTTGACAATTTCATTCAAATTACTCTATTGCAAGCGAAGATATTAGCCTTTGAAGGTTTGACAAGACACGTGCAATAATTTCAACAACTGTACTGGTTGCTCGAAGCTAAGTCTCGCTCCTCCATTTTTAGATTAAATCAAAATATGACTGATACGTTCTAATTTATTTAATATCGGAGAAATCCGATGCTATCGAGAGTTGATTATGGCCTGGGTCAGTTAATAAATGTCTAAATAATAATTTAGAAAACATTTCAGGCCTAAAGAAAGACCTGCAATAGGCAGATTTAACTCTTGCACAATGTTTGTTTAATCTAAACAAAGAGTTTTAAAAATCCAAGATGGGGAAAATTCAAAATGGCGGTCAGAATTTCCATAACATGAATGACTGTTTTATATAGCTTATAATGTCTCTTTTATAAGGTTTTCAGAGTCACTGAACATGAATAAAAACTCAAAAATAATGCTGAAAATCATGTTAATGATACTGCTAAAAATGACACATCCTATGCGACCCCCCCCCCCCCCCACACACACACACACCCCATAAACAATACAATGGGGCATAATATGGAATTGATTATTTTGGATCTCACAGATCACAAGACATTTCACCAAAATAGTGAGTCATTTTAATTTCATCTACTATGCCTTTGCACCATTTTAAGCCGTATTGAGAATTATTTATGATATATCCAGTTGTTAAGAATTTAAGATCTCTTATTCGTTCAGAAATGGTAATGTGGTCCGTTTTTACATTAACGCCTCTATGCCCGGCAACTTTTGTCGTATAGTCTAGTAGGCCTGCAACCAAAATTTTTAGCTTGCTTAGAAACACAGTTCCGCTACAAGGTCCTCCCTATTAAACAAACTATACATATTTGGAAAGCTTATAACACCAGGAACACAAATCCAATTAAAATGTTTTAAGGCCAGATGAAAATTGTGATAATTGTCAAGTAAATGTTATATTTATACTAACAATTGTGAAGTTGACATAAAATTACACATATGATACCTAGGATAGGACAGGCTTATCTTTGCTCCGTGAGGTGAACGACAGGGTTCTCTACAACCAGACTCGAAATTTCTTTTGAAAAAACTGACTGTAATTTAAATGGTACTTTCTAGAGTATATCCTGGTGTTTTTAGCTTATGCATATATCTTAATAATTCATCAAAAACGACATAAATTCATAACTACGCGAGAACATTGACTAGTTTAGGGACCCCCGAAACTACCCTACTCCTTTTGAGTGTCTATCCCTGAAAAGGGAGGCAAAGATATGATGTTAAAACGATAATTCATATATTATTTTACAGTTATATATATAAAAAAAATGTCTCCTTTTTATCCAATGGACAATTTATTGTTAGTTCATGTAGAAAGATATGGTGCTTATAAACGTGTTGCAAATTTCCGTATTACATGGTAGACTTCAACGTATCATATACACAATAGGTATTTATTTTACAAGTATAAAAAATGTTTCCGTTTTATCGAATGAAAAATTTATTGTTAATTCGCATGGAAAGATATGATGTTAAACATGTTACAACTGGTATATTAGTCGAATATTTTACATTTTACAGAAAGTTTACGTTTAATCGAAAATTCCAATAAACAATTTATTTTTAAGTTGAAGGGAGTGTCCTACAGGTGGTAGACCATATTAAATGCTGCTTGAATGTGTATTTTCATAAACTTTGTATGCATATAGATTATTATACTGAAGGTTCGTCTGGATAGAAAATAAGATTTTGTGTGAAACAGGTGTCCTAGAAAAAATGGGTTCACTAACATCAAATATCTGGTTCTACAAATGGTATTTGTCCCTTCTAAGCTAATACCTGTGCGGAACAAACCTTTCCGTTTCATCGAAAATTCCAATAAATAATTCAATTTTAAATTCAGTGGCTACGAAAACCCTTTACATGATATATCACAAGCCCTACCTTGCATGATACTATAATAATAATAATAATAATAATAAAAACTTTATTTAATGAGGCAACGTATTTAGTTTGCAAAAAAACTAATCTTCCATAGGTCCCTCCTAAGCTACAAAGACATATATACATGTAATATCAGGATAAATTTAAAATCATTAGAAATGCAATAGCATTTTAAAGTGGGAAGTTTGATAAGTCACTCCCAAACTTCAAAACATATACATTATACAAGTAGAAAATAGGAAGAACACTATAATTACACACAAAATAAAATAGAATGCAGTTGCAAGTTAAAAATAATAAGTATGTCATCAGTTGAATATTATGGTTCCTTCAGTGTGCAAAATAAATGACTTTTCAGTTTAATCTTTATATCAAAAGGCAGATTGTTCCATAAAAGACATGCAGAATAATGAAAAGTACGTTTCATGGATTCCGTTTTGCAATCTGTGAACGGAGCAAGATATCCGTTTTGGAAACAAGAGATTTTTCAATAAAATAGAAATTTAGATAAAGTGGAGTATTAAATGTAATAATTTTGAATGCTAAGACAATTTTATTGTAAAGAATCCTCTGTGTAAGGGTAAGCCAACCGAGTTTAGTAAATAAAGAGGTGGACGGAGTTTCAATCGGTGCATCAAGAATAGTTCTTGCTGCCCTCTTTTGTAATTTTAAAAGAATGTCTAATCTACTTTTGGTAGCATTTCCCCAAATAATAGAGCAATAATCAAATATTGGTAGTATGTAACTGTTATAAAACAAAATTCCTGTCTCGTAAGGTAAATGATCTTTTATCTTATTTAGGAGAAATATTTTTGATGCAAGTTTTTTTAGACATATCTGCTATCTGTGCTTCCCAATTAAGGTCTTGGTCAATTTGAATTCCAAGTAATTTTGCGGTAGTAACCGTCTCAATTTTCTCACCATGGAGTGATAAAGTTAGGTTTTTCTGATTTCTTTTGTGTTTTGATGAAATCAGCATTGATTTTGTTTTCGAAGGATTGATTACCATCCCATTGTTTTCACACCATTTAGCAACCAAATAGAGATAATTTTGGAGATTATTGGCGATGGATTAAATATCTTTGGGTGAACAATGCAGGGTACTGTCATCAGCAAACAAATCTATCTGACTTGATTCAATATTGAGTGGGAAATCATTTATAAAAATAAGGAATAGGAGAGGACCCACGATCGACCCTTGTGGAACCACGCATTTGACTGTAGTAATTGAGGAGGTAATTGATCCTAAACATCCTTTTTGCTTCCGTGAGTCAAGATATGATTTAATCAAAATTTGTGAATTATTATCAAATCGATAAAGATGTAGTTTTTCAATAATAAGCTTATGATCAATGAGATCAAATGCTTTGCTAAAATCAAGATACACTATACCACTCATCGCACCATTATCGATAGCATCAAGCCAATTATCTGTCATTCGGATCGGTGCAGTAGCACATGAATGATTTGATCTAAATCCAGATTGGTAAGCATAAAGAACATTGAAGGTTTCCAAATAAGTTTGAATTTGAGTGCTCAAGTGCCTTTCGAATATCTATGAAATTGTGGGGAGAATTGAGATTGGCCTATAATTGTTCGGATCATCTTTAGCTCCCTTGCGGTCATTTTGGACATCGGACAGAACCCCAACCGAAAATGACGTCACAGAAGTGACATATCGTTTCGATTGTGACACACTAGCTAAAAGTTCACTAAGTTTATGCCCTGCCTCGCCGACGTTCAACATTTTAAATTTGACAGTCTACTTACGACTTTTGTTGAGTTTGCGGCCACCGCAGCTGTATAGGGAGGACCACTGGGCGTATTTATTTATGCTAATTGAATAACTTAAGAAGACCACACACATAATTTGGCTAAAATTACTCTGAACAGGATTTGGTAGTAAACTTATAAAATAAATCATGAAAACCTGGGAAAATAAAAATGCCAAAAGGTTGCTTTTTCCAGAATAATCTGTTGATTTGGAAAATATATGATTCATTCAACAACAAGTATCATATAGCACCAGAAGAAGCATTTTCTTGTGAACATTGTGAGCCACATTCCATATCCATAGGTCGATCTTTTCAGGAGTTATGAAGGTTTCCCCGATGCGCTCAATTTCAATGAAATAACGGCGGCCATCTTTAAAGATGGCCGCCAAAATGCAATTTAGCAAAGTAACCCGGAAGCCCATCAACCAAATTTCAACACTTCAGCCACCAGGCTAACTGAAAATCATGGTTGAATTTATTCATCAAATTGGTAATGATGTTCCAAAATCCCAGGTCTGTCACATGGACTATATCAAGCAATGATGATAAGGAAGAGATTATCCTCATTGAAACGTTGCAGTTAATAAATCTAGTGAATGTTATCCATAAAGCTGTCTGTTATCAGTTCTGTTGTAGAGCTACATGAAATATTTTATTATTTGTTTCAGGGTGTAAATTTTGAGTTTGGTGCTGTAACTGTGGATCCTCAGACACCAGCGTATGATCCAAGTCCATTAATAGATTATCTCGCTTCATTAGATGTACCTTATTTCTTTGAATCCCAAGGTAAGGGGCTCGACAATATTCTTTAATTTTCTACATTTTTATCTTAAAGCTTTATCCTATTGTGTTTCTTCCACAAATGCCAGAAACCGTGGTAGTTTAGCAGTTGAGACACTGGACTTATCTCTCTCTTAAGACCTCTCTCTCTCTCTCTCTCTCTCTCTTCTCTCTCTCTCTCTTTCATTCACCCAATTTTAGGACGACATGTCTAGGTCCTCATATAGTCTGTTTTATGATACCCATGTATCTAAGCCAAATGTTTAGGGTTTTTGTTTAGATATTTTAGAAACAGCATCTAATATAATCTTTCCTATGAATGTGTGTCTATCTGTTGTTTTTGTCTGCTTTTTAGATATTTTAGAAACAGCATCTAATCTGCCCTATGAATGTGCATCTATCTGTAGTTTTTGTAGTCGTATGAAGCGAGGACGTATTTATGCGTGTGCCAGAAGAGAGAAGTACAACGTTTTAGCACTGGGTCAACACCTAGATGATCTGTCTGAAAGGTTAGTAAACTGATGTTTTTTTGTCCCCCGCCTTTCGAAGAAAGCTGGGGACTATTAAAATGGGTTCGTCCGTCTGTCTGTCCGTCTGTCCGTCCGTCTGTCTGTCCGTCTGTCTGTCCGTCACACTTTTTGGGACACAATAACTCTCTTCCTAATTGAGCTAGAATGTTCAAATTTGGTGTATGTGTTTATTAGGTCAATGCCTTGATGGAGTTCGAAGATGAGCATTTTCCGCTTAGGGTAAGCAGAGATAAGCAATTTGATTGGTTGATGCTTTGGGACACGATAAATCTCTTCCTAATTGGGCTAGAATGTTCAAACTTGGTGTATGTGTTGATTAGGTCAATGCCTTGATGGAGTTCGAAGATGAGCATTTTCCGCTTAGGGTAAGCAGAGATAAGCAATTTGATTGGTTGATGCTTTGGGACACGATAACTTTTAATTGAGCTAGAATGTTCAAACTTGGTGTATGTGTTTATTAGGTCAATGCCTTGATGGAGTTCGAAGATGAGCATTTTCCGCTTAGGGTAAGCAGAGATAAGCAATTTGATTGGTTGATACTTTGGGGCACGATAACTCTCTTCCTAATTGAGCTAGAATGTTCAAACTTGGTGTATGTGTTGATTAGGTCAATGCCTTGATGGAGTTCGAAGATGAGCATTTTCCGCTTAGGGTAAGCAAAGATAAGCAATTTGATTGGTTGATGCTTTGGGACACGATAACTTTAGTTCTAATTAAGTGAGATTGATGAAACTTGGTGTATAGTTTCATTACAGTAATACCTTGACTAAGTTTGATAATGAGCATTTTCTGCTCAGGGTAAGCAGAGCGATACGCAATTTGATTTTTATATGTGTCCTCTAATTATTTTCCTATTTCGGCGGGGGACATCAGCCTCACTGTTGGCTTGTTTTTATTGGAACAGCACCGGCCTACAAATACTTCGGGCTAATGAAAAAGGCATACGGCCCTGCAGTGTTCTATGACAGTAACGTTTCAGCCAACCCTTCAATGAGTTCCAAGAATGATTAAGGCATGTGGATTGGATCAGAAGATCTATCATTATTAGAGTAGAGTTTTAACCCTTCGTACTACAGAATGTTCTCGTTGTCAGGTTTGGCTCCTGTTTGCTCACTACACTTATTATTTTAGCATTTTCCGAGATTCTATCCAGATTATCGCCCTTATTGTTAAAATTGTTTGACGTTCTAACTCATGACATCAACTAGCAGACTATTGCCATTGAGGAGACGACCCTTGTCAAGATCTGTCGCATTATTTCTTTTACGTCTTTCTTGTATTCCTGATTGTTTTCAAATTTGAGTTAAGTCTGCGTCACTACAGGCCTAGGACTGTACATGTAGCGCAGTGGATGCTTACGGCTGGCCACCGGATCCATTCACTTGATTTGATATTTGTTTATTTGGTGCAATGTCTATTTTCTGTCTTGTCCGCAGGTATTTCTTGTAGATTTTTGTTTTGCATGTAGTGCGGTCCTCCTGCACTTACTATTGAGTCAAGTTGCATGGTTTTAATTCCCTGCTTGTACATGTAGGTGACAAGGAGTAGAGTCACCCTCCAACCTCGTGGATTTTTCTCAGGGTCCTCGGGTTTCCTCCCCCTGCTAAAGATCCCTTTGCGCAAGCGAATTCAAGGCTCTACATGGCGACTAAATCACTCGCCATGGTGACCAAATATATTTTCGGGCTAGTTAAAATTTTCACTTGAGTCGCCAGCTGGCTACTGTAAGATTTTTTTCTCGTTTTAAAATAATTACAAAGTTTTTTTTTACAAAATTGAATTTGTTTATTCAGCGCTTCGTAAAACCGGAACTAACTAGGGGAAATAACTCCAATTTAACGACAATATTTACGACATTCATATATTTTCTTACCATGTGCCGAAAATCGTTCTAACTTCTAACTTACGGCAATGTATACAAAATGTCCGACTACGCATGTTGTTGACCCATTTTTCTAACCCATACATTAAAGTTATTCCCTATATATTAATAAAATGAATAAAAACAAAATCTTTTAAGCTCTTTCTTTAAAAAAAAGGAAGATTCCTCTCAGACACAGATTAAAAAAAACAACGCGTAATATCTAGTAGTGATTTACGTTACAGACTACAGTTAATAGCATTGTAATTTCTGGCTACTAAAATTTTGGTTCTGGCTAGTAAATTTTTAGCATTTAGTAGCCAGTGAAGACTAAATTTTCCATGCCCATATTGACCCTTGAGCGAATTATTGAAATAAAATTTAACCATATATTAGTCCAGAAATGGCCTAGTTTGTGTCGAGTGGATGTTAAACCCCATTTCTTTCTCTCTCACTATTCTTGCTGGGCCCTTCGTCTTTGTGGATTTCAACTTTCAATGTGGATATTATGTGTTTTCTTTGAATTGTATTTAATAATTGGGAGACTATTTAACAATTACTATGGTTTATTTGACTGCAACATTTCAACAAGATTCCAATAAGTCCAATCTGATTAAAATACACATCTATATTTCATTTCGTTTTTTGTCATACTTTCGATGGTCTACACTACATGAAGATCTGACAAGTTATAGTGGAAGGGACGTCAGAGGTCATATGTGCGGCTTTTGACCTTATGACGTCAGACATTGGTTAATCAATCAGCGTTGACGTTTCTAGTGGTTTACCCAAAGTTCTGTGCACCTCACGCCAAAAACTCACCGTAACAGGCCGTTTCATTGGCTAATCCGTCACATCCTCTAGAACGTGGGTTAAATAACAACTCTTTCAGATCCTAGTGTAGTAAATACAAGTAAAACGAAATTTTTAACTATAAAAAAACGAAACGAAATAGGATCTGTGTTTTAATCAGATTGCAATAAGTCATTATCAAGCATATAAAAATAAATTGGTTCTCTTATTTTACATAAGGGGGTTGGATGGCCGAACGGTTAGCACGTGCGTGCTGTATCATAAAGCCTGTCATTGAGTCAACCGGCGTGGTTTCGAATCCCAGGTTGTATGTGACAAGGAGTAGGGTCGCCTGTCCAACCTCGTTGGTTTTCTCCAGGTCCTCCTATGCGCAAGCGAATTATTGAAATAAAATTAAACCATATGTTAGTCCCGAAATAACCTCCAAGTGGACGTTAAACCCCATTTCTCTCTCTTTCTTATTTTACATTTTGTTGTCATGTTACATAAAAATTAAGTATTACAATAATTGTAACATGTGGGAACCACGGTGGCTCAGTGAGTAAGATGTTGGCTCGCTAGCCTGGAGATCACGTGTTCGATCCCTGCATAGGCCAATAAAGTTCATCAGGATTTTCTGCCGTGGTTTTATATTTGTCAGTGTTGCAGGACAGAGGGCCTGACAAGGGACAACGTATAGTCATTCAGATGGAATGAAAAACCAAGGTCCCGTGTATACATTGGAGTGCACGTAAGATATCCCTTGACAGTTGGAATTTTATATAAGAGTAGGCCGTACTTCACTGTGCAGGCAAAATTTCCCTCATAACACACGGTATGCTGTATGCCCTCTTCATTAGCCCAGTCTGAGCAGAACAGTAAGATGTCAAACCCCATTTCATTTCATTTACCAGGCCAATTAAATAGACATTTCGTTTTGTAAAATGTGTTTTGAAACGTGTTAATTATTATATTGGATGTGATATTTGTTTATTCAATCTAGTTTTTTGATGTCATATTTCCACAATGGTAGTTTAAGAACAATGAAAGCAAGTTATACAGTACGGTAAGTATTTTATAAGTTGGTTTATGTCTATATCTAGACTAAGATCATTTACATGCAGGGGGGTTGGATGGCCGAATGGTTAGCACATTTGTGTTGTATCATTGGGTCTGTCATAATGAGTCAACTGGCGTGGTTTTGATTCTCCGGTTGTATGTGACAAGGAGTAGGGTCGCCTGTCCAGCCTCTTGGGTTTTCTCCGGGTCCTCCGGTTTCCGCCCACTGACCCCTAAGTGCATGCATATTATTGAAATAAATTTGAACCATGTGTTAGTCCCAAAAAGACCTAGTTTGTGTCGAGTGGATGTTAAACCCTTGATACTATTGTGCTATTGGGCAAAGGGAAGTAACTCACATTTTATTGCAACTAAGATAGCCGAATTGGTATGGTGAACGTAAACAATGACGCTAAGACTGGTATGTAATCTGGGTTTTTTTTATTGGTTCGTAGAACCAACCTACGATCAAGGGCAAATAATTTGAGCGACTTTTGACCCTATGACATCAGACGTTGATTAATCAATCAGCGTTGACGTTTCTAGTGGTTTACCCACAGTTCCATGCACCTCACTCCAAAAACATGCTGTAACAGACCGTTTCATTAGCTAATCCCTTATGTCACCCAGAATGCGGGTTATATAACAACTCTTCCAGATCCTAGAATAGAACTGATAAGTATAAAGAAATTTTGAACTATAAAAAACATAACGAAATAGGATCTGCAGGGGCGGATCAAGGAATTTTTGCAGGAGGGGGTTTGCCCGGTTCCTAAGAAAATGTATCCCCTACCTCCCTTCCCCCCCGGCTTGAAATTTTTTGAGAAATACATGGTCTCTATCATCATTTTGGCGTATATACATACACATTAATCTTTTTAAACAGAGAAATCCAACATCCTGAATTAATACGATGACATTGTGATTCAATTTTATTGATGCAAAGCATTAATTGTGATATCACATGTCTATATCATTATCTTGCGCTTTGAGTGCCCATCCTGTCGCACCATCTGACGATAAAGGATAAAGCACAATTATGACAGTTTTCTCATAAAATAAGTTGGTTTATGTAGCTGAGCAGGAGTGGGTTGGACCCCCCAAACCCCTCCCTCTGGATCCGCGCTTGATCTGTGTTTAATCAAATTGAGGGATTAGTGGAGTAGAATGGAACGATACCACTGTAGATACTGAGGATGAGGAAGACAAGCATACTTCATACAACCGTGGCAATAGAACCTTGACAGCTGAATCAAACACAACCAAAATTATACTATGACATACAAGAAGTTTGGTTTTGATCTTCCCCAAGGATACGGATAGCCTGACAAGGACAGCTGTCTAGTTGTTCGGATGGGACGAAAAAACGTGGTCCCCTGTACACATTGGCGTGCATGTAAAAGATCCCTTGACAGTTGGAATTCGATATAAGAGTAGGCCGTAGTGCCGCTGTCCGGGCAAAATTTCCCTCATAGCACACTGTATGGCGTATGCCCGTCTACATTAGCCCAGTTCGGAGCAGAACAGTAGGACGTTAAACCCCATTTCATTTCATTTCCCCAAGGATATTTACTTCCGATAAATTTATTAATCCGTCACAGTATATTTAACAAAGACATTTATTTTTCAGTGAAGGAGATCTTCGAGTTATTAGACCGTTTGTATATGTCAGAGAAAAACTTTTACGAACTTTTGCTGAGAAGGTTGGTACTCCATGACTAAAATATTATACAGGGTATTTTACGATCATAGGCGTACGGGGAAATTTTCGACTGGGGGGGCGGTGGTGGTTGGTGCTCCAAAAATGTAGTTAGGTTCTTAGTATGTTACATAATAATAATAATATCTCTTTTGCGATGAATAAGTTCTTAATTTCTAAATCATCAATAAAAGAGAACTAAATTTTATTTACTTGTAATATACACAACTAAAAACAGTTGTTTATGTAACTGTAATTCGTGGCTTACTGTACTCCAAACAATAGAGGGTCTGAGTCTTAAGATTTCTATTTAATTGCCTAACTATAGACACTCTGAATTTAAATTCGCTGTTAAATTGGACACATTCAAGAACATAATATTTTTTTTATACAACTTTTACAAAGTACAATTGTGTGCCCAAATTTTCCCAGCATTTGGTGCGCAAATTGGGGGGGGGCGGCCGCCTATGTTTACGATCGGGTATCATTTAATAACATCGAAATTAATCAATATACATCAATAATCAATTGGGTTGGTTGTTTTCGAACAGTGGTCAGGAAATTAAATGCTGCTTGTAAATGAATGGTTAATTCATGCATGCTGTATCATAAGGTCTGTCATTAAGTCAACTGGCATAGTTTCGATTCCCCGATCGTACGTGACAAAGAGTAGGGTTGCTTGTCCAACCTCATGGGTTTTCTCCAGTTTCCTCCCACTGCTAAAGACCCCTACGTGCAAGCAAATTATTGAAATAAAATTGAACCATATGCTAGTCCTGAAATGACCTAGTTTGTATCGGGTGGATGTTAAACCCCATTTCTCTCTCCCTCTCTTGCAATATTAGTCCACATGTTTAAATGGGGGGGGGGGGCAGCAATCAGCACCAGGTTGACCTTTAGGGGTGTCAAAATCTAAGGGGCCTCCATCCAAGTTGTATAATCGGTCTTTCTTACATGCACTCATCATTCTCAGCTTTTCCTCAAATAGGAGCCACGGTGGCTAAGTGAGTAAGACGCTGGCTCGCTAGCCTGGAGGTCGCATGTTTTATCCCTGTATTGGTCAAGAAAGTTCATCGGGATTTTCCAACGTGGTTTCCCCGAGGGCCTGACATGGACAGCTTTCTAGTCATTTGGATGGGACGTAAAACCGACATATCCAGTCCTACTTATCCTGTTTCACAATAAGAGGAAAACCTGATGTTTTTATATATATTTTATTTAATACACAGAGTTTTATCTTGTAGCGTCACAACCCTTAATATAAACAACTCTCTCCCCAAAAAATTCTTGTGATGTCACATTTTATATCACAATGATGGAAAATTGGAATGAAAAAAAAATCTGCCCCGAAAACCATCCCGCTTCCCCCCCCACCCCAATATTGAAAGCCATATATATATATATATATATAACTCTTTTTTCTCCACAGAGTAAATATCTGCCTGAATAATATTGAAGGTCTCATATATTTTTTTTTCCACAGAGTAAACTGCCTGTAATAGCTGAAAATTGTCCAGCCTGTTTTGAAGCCCCAAAGGTTTGTCTTAAAATCTCATTAGCGAAGAGTGGGAAGTGGGCGGGATTGGATGGCTGAATGGTTAGCGTGTGCCCATTGTATCATAAGGTCTGTCATTGTGTCAACTGGTGTGGTTTCGATTCCCTGGTTGTACGTTTTGGGTTGGATGGCCGAATGGTTAGGTGTGCGCATTGTATCATAAGTTCTGTTATTGCGTCAACTAGAGTGGTTTTGATTCCCTGGTTGTATATGACAAGGAGTAGGGTCAGGTCGTCTGTCTAACCAGTTCAGATATAACTAATGATGTAATTTTATTTGAACTCAATATGTAACTTTATTCAAACTCAATATGTAATTTTAATCGAACTCAAGATGTAATTTTAATTGAACTCAATATGTAATTTTATTCGAACTCAAGATGTAATTTTATTCGAACTCAAGATGTAATTTTGGTTATTTCAGGAGCGACACAGAACTAAACAATTACTAGCTTCACAAGAACTTTTATTCCCTCAGGTATACAGCAGCATGATGGCTGCCATGAAACCCATCATCGCTATTAATAGAACTGGGAGTAACATCAGCTCTCTGTTGAACGGTCAGAATACTACAGAAGACGAGGAAGATTTGTGAACGTAGACACATTAAAATCTACATAATTATATTATTTCATTTTAAATTAATTTCAAGCTGCAATAAATATATCAAAGATTGCGAAAATACTGATTTTTTATTTGAACAAATAAAATGAAATGGGGTTTAACTGCAACGAACTGGGCTAATGAAGACAGGCATACACCAGACAGTGTGCTATGAGGGAAATTTTGCCCGGACAGCGACACTACGGCCTACTGCCTACTCGCATATTGAATTCCAACTGTCAATGAATCTTTTATGTGCACGCCAATGTGTACATGGGACCTCGGTTTTCCGTCCTATCCGAACGACTAGACAGCTGTACTTGTCAGGCCCTTCGTCCTGCATCACTGACGTGGGGAAACCACGCTGGAAAATCTTGATGGACTTTCTCGGCAGTCTGCAGGGGTAGACTGTAGCTATGGAACATAAAGTGAAGGCGTATCAATTTAAAAAAAAAACAAAAAAAACGTGAAGTAAGCAGTGAATGATGTTTTATTTATGTTTTGTACAAAGTGAAATTATTAAATTATATTACCTGTATACCTGTACTACAGTATTACCTGCACTGTATTACAGTATCATCAGTACCCCTCAGGGATACCAAGGATGATTACAAAATTACCTGCAAACAATTACCTGTACATAAGATATAATATTACCTGTACAATTAGATATAATATACTATAATATAATTCAGATCATCTTCGAGATTGTCACATCTCTTATAATCAATATTTAATAAATAATATTCATACCTATGCTAGATGCATCCTCGATATCCACAGTGGTCTCACTCCACTAACCCCTGGGTTCATCCATGGTTGAAAAACACATATTCAATTTATCTGCCCTTGATGATTGTGCTATTTTTAGCGACCAATCAAAAAAATTGTTAAATACAAAAGAAGTTGACGAAGGGAAATAGCTCTCTCATAATAGAGCGAACAAGTCGCCATATTGTTGTGAACCTATTCAGTGAGGCTAAGACTGGTTTGTAAACTTTTTTTGGGGTTGGTTCGTAGAATCAAGCTATGATCAAGGGTAGATAATTTGAATATGTAAACGGAATGAGACCACTGGGGATATCGAGGATGCATTAGATGATATTTTTATAATCAACTAAAACTAGCAATAGGTACAAAAACATGGTTTATAAAATAAACCAATTTATGATCATTGTCAGTTGAAATACAGGATAATACCTAACTCTAAACCTTTCAAATATGTCGACCAAATAGCTAAAATTACTGTCAGATATAATAAAATATTTATAACCATTCTCAGATGAAAATACAGAATAATACATCAACTCGAAATTTTCAAATTGCTCAGTTATAATAAAACATCTCTTTATATTAAGAAAACCTTTATCTTGAAATTTCATAAAAGATTTCAGCTGAATAATTAATTCTGATTCCCTTTACAATAATTTATTTCAAATTTTACAAAAATTAAAAAATATTTTTTAACTTGTTTAGACATCTTTTATATTATATAAAGACAAAAATATTGATGCCTCGTTTGATTGTTATTTTTATTTATTGCCAATTTGTTGTCAAGACAGTCCATTATAATTCAGTGGTAAATTTTTCTATAAAAACTGGTTATATACAATTTATTTTATAATCGGACCAATATAATTAACAGCTGTACATGATAATACAATAACGAAATTAAATAATAGAAAAATTATAATAATACGTAGAAACTAATTCACACATAGACTTTATCTATACTCTTCATATATTAAAAACATTATATACACAAATACATATCAAATATCATTATCAGAAATAATATGCTCTGACTTACTTACGGCTGGTCACACATTATCAGAAATAATATGCTCTGTCTTACTTAGGGCTGGTCACACATTATCAGAAATAATATGCTCTATCTTACTTAGGGCTGGTCACACTACTGTCCTATCATTATCAGAAATAATATGCTCTATCTTACTTAGGGCTGGTCACACTACTGTCCTATCATTATCAGAAATAATATGCTCTGTCTCACTTAGGGCTGGTCACACTACTGTCCTATCTTCATCAGAAATAATATGTTCTGTCTCACTTAAGGCTGGTCACACTACTTTCCTAACATTATCTGAAGTAATCGACTACTTAGGGCTGGTCACACTACTGTTCTATCATTATCTGAAGTAATGGACTCTTGTCTTACTAAGGTCTGGTCACACCCCTGTCCTATCTTCATCAGAAATAATATGTTCTGTCTCACTTAGGGCTGGTCACACTACTTTCCTAACATTATCTGAAGTAATCGACTACTTAGGGCTGGTCACACTACTGTTCTATCATTATCTGAAGTAATGGACTCTTGTCTTACTAAGGTCTGGTCACACCCCTGTCCTATCATTATCAGAAATAATATGTTCTGTCTCACTTAGGGCTGGTCACACTCTTGACCTATCATTATCTGAAGTAACATCGTCTGTTTTTCTTAGGGCTGGTCACACATTATCTGAAATAATATGCTCTGTCTTACTAACCTCTGGTCACACTACTGTCAAGAGGATTCCAGAATATAATATTCTATACGACTAGATTAAAGACTATTTATAGATTAAAATGTTGACTTACACATGTAAGGCTAACATTACTTATAACACATGTAAGGTCTTCATTTCTTATAACACATGTAAGTCCTACAATTCTTAGAATACATGCAAGTCCTACATTTGTTATAACTTTTGTAAGGCCTACATTTCATATAACACATGCAAGTCCTACATTTCATATAACACATTCAAGTCCTACATTTCATATAACACATGCAAGTCCTACATTTCATATAACACATGCAAGTCCTACATTTGTTACAACTCCTATAAGGCCTACATTTCTTATAAGATATGTGGTAAGGCCTACATTTCTTAGAACATATTTAAGTTTTACATTCAACTCCTACCTAAAATGAACATTCATAATCTTTTAATACCACAAATAATTGCTAGATTACATATATTTAATCTCCAACTAAACGATGTATAACTAATACTATAAACTTATTGGCTCAATACCACTCTTGTTGTAACTGAATAATATGTCCCAATCTTTATTCTGGTCAACAAATTGTACTATTTTACAATATTCCAATTAATTGATGATACAAATTTCATCTTAACACACCTAATTTAAAAAATTGGAAAAATTCAACTAAATGATTTGAAAAGCCGGACGTAAAGCTTTTCAAACGTGACTTGGATTTAACAATATTTTTGAACCCTCTGGACAAGTAAAAAAGAATTTAATGGTTAATTTACACAACAGGTAGGACACTAACACATCTAGTACTTAGAATAAAGCTATTTTTTTATTTTCTGGAGCTGTCAAGCCAGCAAGAGTGTTATTGTCCCTTTAAAGGAGATATAAACCTCTTTGATTAAAAAATGAATTATGTAAGAATTAAATCTGCCTGTTTTTCTACTTAAAATGTTACACAAATAATTATTTAGGCATAAATTCAGATCACAAGCCCACAAATTTTCAATATATTAACTTTTCATTATCCATTTCAGTCCTTCATGTTCATAAAATTGTGCAGGAGCCATAAAAAGCTCCTGCCAATTTCAACTAGGAGAAAAAAGTTCCTGCCAATTTCAACTAGGAGAAAAAAAAACCTTCTTAATTATATTGCAAGAGTAATTCTACATTTTCTTGAATTAAGGAGAGCCGAATTGTATTTTTGCTTTAGTCTTGTTTAATCTTTAGTGAATATGGTAGTGTCAGAATTATCATCACGGAAAAACTGATAGCTGGAACGTATAAACAAAAACTGAAAGTAGTTTATTAATCTCAATATTTAGAAGAGAGATTTAGCTAATTTACAGGAGTCTTTAATGACTCCCATGAAGGAAAGTCAAGGTGCGTCGAGAGGAGCAGGAGCGAGCGCACCTTAAACATGAAGACTGCTATTTTTTAACTATTATAAAAAGAATGACCAGCTCTTTATCTAAATCTTACATAATGTATCTTTACGTTAAAATAAAGTGTTGACTAAATTGATTTAATCGAATTAAATACATGACTGTGAAAATAAACTGGGCCCAAGTTCACAAAGTATTCTCAGACTTAAGTTAAGAATTTACTTTCAATCACTGTTTATGAGAAATATCTTTGATCCAGAAACATAAAACTTTGCACATAGATAGTTTGTTATTGATGTATTTGATACATTAAAACAACAAAAGTTTTATAAAGTTCTATATTTTAGTTAAAATAAGGCGAACAATTCTGAGTAAAGTCTTAGAATGCTTTGTGATCTTGGGCCCAGGTTATTTTCACAGTCATGTATTTAATTCGACTAAATCAATTAAGTTAACTCAGGGGGCCAGTACTTATATTTTTACACAATTTACATGATTCATAGAATATAACATTTCACTCCAGCTACAGGAGCAAGTTCGGTTTCTCCTATATAACTTAATAAAACATTAACGAAAAACAAAATATAATACACAATATTTTTACATAATTCATAGAACTAAAATAAAAAACATTGTATACAACATTTATCTACATATATAAAACTTGTAGAAATTATCAACAGATCAATCTGGTTCAAACACAGATCTTATTTCGTTTGGTTTTTTTATAGTTCAAAATTTCGTTTTACTTGTCTTTACTACACTAGGACCTGGAAGAGTTATGTGACAGGCGTTCTACTTGACGTGAGGAATTAGCCAATGATACGGTCTGTTACAGTGAGTTCTTGGCCTTTTTATACACGGAACTGTGGGTAAACCACTAGCAACGTCAACACCGATTGATTAATCAATGTCTGATGTCATAAGGTCAAAAGCCGCTCATTTGACCCCTGACATGAACTCCTACTATAGCTTGTCAGATCTTCATGTAGTGTAGACCATCGAAAGTATAAAAAAACTAAATGAAATATAAATCTGTATTTCAATCGACTGTCAACTTTTTTATGAGAGTATGTGTTACGTGTTAAATATCATTCAATCAAAATGACTAAAGGCAATATAATATCATACATAGCTAGGGAGCGCCAGTCCACATTGAGAATATCTTCAAAATGCTTGTGATAGTTCAATAACGTTC